GCCCCGCGCCTTAGAGCAACATAAACAAAAACCAACAACTAAAAGTAGATGAGCCACCACAGAATGCCATAAAGATCCTGTGAGGTGCCATGTGACAGTCATTCAATGCCCACTATGTGCCTACTTTTGGTTACAGGTGTGTGCACTGATGAAGAACCCCCATTTGCTTTCAGGGGTCCACCTTCTTTGAAAGGTGACAATTCTACCTTATCTATCTATCTCAAACTTGTGCTTTTCCCAAAGCTCTTCAGCCTCTGAGCAGGCCACCACCCCCCAATCCTCATATCCCCATGTACCGGTGAAGTGGATTGTACCTGGTGTGCCTGACATGCGAAAGGAGCATCAGGAGGTTAGCCAGGCGGACAGACTGCTGCTGGGAGGGGATGCCACTCTTGGCGATCACCCAGACCAGAGCATCGATCACGGCATTCAGCAAGTGAGTCAGCTTCCGACTGCTCTCAGCCTCCTGGGCTGGTGCAGCTAGAGGGTACATACCTGGGCAAAGAATAAAAGCCATGATTCATCGCTCTAAGAAAAGGAAACGGAAGTCGTGTGCTCAGGTGTTCAACATGCCAACATTTCCAGAAAGGAGGCCAAGTTGCCCTGGGTTCTGCATGTGTGCTGAAATCTTAAAAGCACAACTTTACCTCTCCGTGGTGCCTCCCCGTCCCCCTGAGCCAGCCCCATGGCTGAGCTGGAAGGGCAAGCCCGGCTGAATCTGGGCAGACTAAAGTGCCTACCTGGCCCAGAATTGTGGCCTTACCTTGTAAATGTATCTAGTTCTCTCAAACCATTATATAGTGTATCTCAGTTGCAGCAACAAATACACATATAAAGATGGTCAGAAAGTGAGACTAAGTCTCCTCTTAGCCCCTGGGAGGGCCTCACAGTAAGGGGAATTTAATAAACACACGACCACTGCTATGCGGTCTCTCCTGCCACATGCAGACAGTCATAGTGAGCTCGCTGCCACCTATGTCCAGGCCGTCAGCATCCCACCTCCGGTGGCACCTTGCTGGAGCAGGAAGGCCACCAATTTTGAGTCAGACAGGCCTACTACATGTCTACCACTCTGACCCCTGACCAGTTTTCCAGCTCCTCCAGCCTCGGCTCCTCACTGAGCAAAGTTTGCAGGCACGTGTCTTCCAAGGTCCCCACATCCACACCACCAAGCAGGTTGCTTCTCCCATCCTGCCCTGTACTGTTTAATTCTCCACTAACTAGCATCTAAGATACTGGGGCCTCCCTATGGTTGCAAAATGATAGCTCAGGTAAATCTTTCCCGCACCCCTATCCCCAACTCCCTGATTCCTGAAAGCAAGGAAATAACTAGCTTTTCTTCCAGGCTTTTGATTTCAAAGTAAAAATAAATAGCAAATATGTGAAAACAAAAGTGGAGCTGCCAACTTTTGGCTGCAGTGAGAGCGAAGGATGGCTGGCACCCCATCAGCCACAGAATTTGTTTTGGCAATTTGGTTCTCTATTTTTATTGGCAATTTCAGTTTAAGTAAGGCAACTAAGTTCAATTAAGGCAAAGTACATACCGAACTACAATTATGCAAGTGTAGTGTTTCAACACGTCCCTGGGCGCATGTCCCTCCATGTCTAATAATGCAGGTTTAAAATATTCATCTTTTAAACAGCCCAGAATCGCTTCTCTAACCCACATGCTAACCTCGTTCTCCACAGTCTTGAACCTCCCACTGTCCCCCACAGCAGATGACCTGCCCTTCCACTGCAGAGGAAACAAGCCCCCACCCTCAACCCAGCATGCCCCTTTCAGTGGCCAAAATGCAGATCTGCTCATGTGGCTCTAATGACTTCCCAGCTCTTGGGGCAGAGTCCAAACCACCCTGGGCACTTATCCAGGGTACCAGTCTCTTCTTGCTCTTTCCATCCTTAGTTCCAAGCACACCTCACCTTGAACTTTACTTTCAATTTCTTGAACAGGTCGGTGATGCCCTGAACATGCTGAACTTTCTTTCTGCTTAGGAACACTCTCCCCCTCCCCCTCCTCCTCCTCCTCCTCTCTCGAGACTCTTGCTTATCTATACCCATTCCTCCTATAGATCCCAGCCTGGTTATGAACTTCCTTCTGGAAGGTTCCCCTGACCCACAAGCTGGATATCCTTATACATGCCCCACAGCCACTCTCCCACCCTCAAAGAGACTAGACATACGCACTTCAAGGGCACAGACTATCTGTCATTATATCCCTATCTCCTAGTGCAATGACTGGTGTGAAGTACACATTCATAAATGGAAGCACTAGACTGAATTCACATAGGTTCAATTTTTTTTTTTTTGCATTTTTAAACCAATCATAATTGAAACAATATGCATGTTAATGCATATTTTAGGTACACTACAACATTATTAATCAAATAAAAGTATGGAGAATATTATTTTAAGCTTCCTTTCCCTATTGACCACACCTGCATTAACAAGTGCCTTATATTAACTACCTTTAGTCTGCTCAGCTATATGACTTGTATGTGCTCCATGGATTTCTCTTCTAAAAATATCCAAAATTGTGTAGAATCATGTCTCCATCAAAAGTGACAAAGACCGAAAATATAACAAACCCTCAGCTTGTACACAAATGTTCATAGCAACATTACTCATAAGAGTTTACAAATGGAAACAATTTAAATGTCCATTAACTGATGAATGGATTAACACAATGTGGCATATTCCATATAATGGAATATTATTCAGCCATAAAAAATGGAATGAAGTACTTTGAAAATATGTGAAGTGAAAGAAGCCTGGTCACAAAGGACCACATTTTGTAGACTCCATTCATATGAACCGGCCAGAACAGGCAAATCTACACAGACAGAAAGTAAGTTAGAGAGGGCCCGGGATGTAGGTGGGACAGAGCCTGGGGAGCGGTGGAGAAGGACTACAGTGTTTCTTTTGGGATGATAAAAATGTTCTAAAATTGGTTGTGATGATGGTTGGCTAAGGCTATAAATACACTAAAAACCACTGAATTTTGTACTTTAAATCAGTAAATTGTATGGTATGTGAATTCTATCACAATAAAGCTGTTATTCAAAATAATAAAATAAATCCCCATAACCAAAATTACAGTAAAACAAAAGGGCCCTCAGTGCCTCCTTTGTCTGACCAAAAGCTCCCATCAGCGTGTGTTGGTTATTGGCTCACCTCCTTCATAAGCGAGCAGTCATTGCCAAGGTCTGGGTCTTGTATAGGCTCTGAAGAGAGCACAGTTCCATTCAGGACCCAGAGTCCAACAGTGACAAAGGTTTGGGGGACAGGAATCACTACAGTTTTGGAAAGGCATATGCTATATCAATTTTATATGTACAAAAACATTTTATACACAAGAAAATTAACCTATATAAAATCTTCCTGGGAAGGAATTGGGCTGAAGAATACCCATTTTGCTACCTGACTCTCCAGTTAGCTGTACAGTGCTTGCACTTGGGTATTCATGTACCCCCTTGCTCACCGAACATGTATGTTGAGAGTGACTGCTAAGTGGCAGATCCTGGGCAGGGGCAAGTGACAAGACACAAAGCTCCTGCCCTCAGGATGCTCACTGCGCAGATACAGAAAACAACAAATAATTTGCCCCTGCTACTACCCCCCAAAGGTAAAAACATCAGGTAAGATTCATTTTAGAACCAAATTAAATTACTTTTCATGAAACTAAAGAAATACAGTACAAAGGCAAGATCTTGGCACCGGGCCCCACACATACCGAAGAAAGTAAAATAAAATCAAGGACATAATCTCTTCTCCTCTTTATCGCCTGGGAACAGCTGTGTGTTCCTCTCACTAGCCCACCTAATGACATTCTGAGCAGCACATGGGGGGGAGACAGGCAACCTCCAAGATTTGCTATGTCCTAAATGTTCGAAAGATGAAGATATAAACTTGCCTTGACTGAAGGCAAATAAATCAGAAGATCTACAGTATTTACTAAAAATCCCAGAATACCAACCAAAGGAAAACTGTTCTGGCTTTTGGGAGGCGTATGTGGTGTTTGCTTGTTTGCTTTGTGAAAGGAACTTCTCTCTGCCTATGACCATCCCCTTTATTATCACCTCCTACCCTCCAGAACCATGAGAACAGACTAAAGTTCAAAAGGTGCTGGTGATATGAAACCAGCAGAACGATGTCCACAGTGCTTTGACCATATGTTCTTGATCAACAGGAAAGGACCCATCTTGCCTCTTCAGCATCCTTCTGTGTGTCTTTTTGTGCCTTTCCCTTCTCCACACACACTACGTAGGAACTCTTGCCATAAACTCAGAGTGAACCAGGGTTCGAATTGATATCTCTTAATAACTTTTTTAGGTTTTTAAAAAATTTTATTATTCGTTTCAAGTATAGATTTCTCTTAATAATTTTCTTAACATAAAATAGGATTGCCTGGTTCTAATTCTCAATTTCTTTCATTTAATAAGTTTCATCCTTTAAGTCTTAAAATTGTTTAGCTAAATAGACTTATTCCTAATTTCAAATATGTTTAAAGACTATTCACAGATTGATTCCACTCAATTTCCTAGATTCAGTAGCCTCTAATTCTACCCAACCTGACTGAGTGACATAATCCCAACCAAGCTTGTAACAAAAGCAGAAAAATAGGCCAACCTATCCTGCAGACCATCTCCAGACAGCCCAATGCTTACACGGCCTGACAAGGCAAACTAGAAACAAGCAAGTGGCAGCCCTCAGAGATTCTGCTACCTTAATGAGACAGAGAACATTCACAGCCTTCTGAGTTTAAGAAACCTACCCCATTCCTCCTCTCCTGACAGTCACCATCCAAGGCCTCCACCCTGTGCTGGATTCAGTTCCCTGGTTAGTAGTATGATTTTACTCTTTGGGCTGCAATATTTGCTCTCCATCTTTTTTTCTGTTTTGTTTTTATTACATGTTTATAGATTGAGCTATAACTGACATACAATAACCTGCAATATTTAATGTGTATGATTTGATGAGCTTTGACACTAGTAAAACCATCATCACAATCAAAACACATTCACCATCCACAAAAGTTCACTTGTGTCCCTTTGTAATCTATCCCTCCCTTTCTCCCAACCTCCATCTTATCCCCTAGCATCTACTGATCTGTTGCCACTACAGATTAGCTTGCTTTTGTCGAAATTTTATATAAATGAGGTCTTACAATATGTATACTTTTGTCTGTCTTCTTTCAATCAGCACCATTATTTTGAGATCTATTCATAATGTTGCATGTATCATTCAATTCTTTTTATTGCCGAGTAGTATTCTACTGTATGAACAGAGAAAAGTTTGTTTATCCTTTCACCTATTGGTGGGCATTTGGGTTGTTACCAGTTTTTGTATGAACATATACTTTAATTTCTCTTGAGTAAATATACCAAGGAGTGAAACAATTGGGTCATCTGGTAGGTGTCTGCTTAACTTTTTTTAAAAATGCCAAACAGGTTTTCAAAGAGGTTGTACTAATATACCAGCAGTGTACAAGAGTTCTC